TTTTTTTGGTGTTTGGCTTAGTGTTATGTTAGAATCATTATTATACTCTTATACCTTTTGTTCTTTACTATTTTGAATTGTTTTTGCTTTATTTTTTGTTTTTCATTTAAATGTTAAGTTTTGAAATGTTGTTGTATGCATTTGTCATTTATTTAATTTCTTTATTTTTAAAATGTGTATAAGTAGTATTTATAAAGTTTTAGCTTTTAGTTTTGGATCTGTTTTTAGTTGTTTTAATACTACAGTTGATTGCTTCTGTTGTCCTCATTTGTAAATCGCTTTGGATAAAAGCGTCTGCTAAATGACTAAATAAATAAATAAGTGACAGCTTAAAGGCATAGTTCACCCAAAAATGAAAATTAGCCTATGATTTACTCACCCTCAGGGATCCTAGGCGTATCTGACATTCCTCTTTCAGACAAACACAATCACAGTTATATTTAAAATTGTCCTGGCTCTTCCAAGCTGTATAATGGCAGTGAATGGTGCCCCTGTTTTTGAAGCCTAAAAAACTGATAACTGTGATTGTGTTCGTCTGAAAGAGGAATGTCAGATACGCCTAGGATGCCCTGAGGGTGAATAAATCATAGGCTAATTTTCATTTTTGGGTGAACTATCCCTTTAATTTGGGTTACATTTGTTACCCTGTTATTTGCAACCCTGTTAACCTTTTTTTTTTTTTTCTCCACTACTGACACATGCTCAGTTGGGGTTTAAAAGACACTTAATATTCAATAATATTATCAATTTGACTGCACTGGATGGGAACAAAACTGAGCTGGATAATGAAGATGGTCTTGTTATTGTATTTGTTTCACAATTGAAAAACTTTGCAACATTAGTACTTTTGTTTTCTTTTTTTCATTACTGTCTTGTTTATTACTCTAAAAACAATCTGTATTGTATGAAACGCTATACAAATAAATGTGACTTTAGTGTATTAATTCAATTTGCTTTTTTTATGTTGAATTTGTATGTTTTTAATTTGTTGAATTAATCAGCATATAATGTAATACATTAGATGATTTTTATAAGACTGACAGCTCTAATAGTAATAAATTACAGTAATATGAGCAGGAATATGTCATCTGACACTTTCGCACATACAGCCTTTGTCAGAAATGTATACATTTACACTTATATTCCAGTATTTTGCCAGCTTTGAGGGTTTCCCAACTTTGTCACTAAGTTCTGAATGAGCACAATTGAACGCAATTGCTCAGTGGCATTTACTTCTATCGTGACATGGGACTCGAAATTGTCACACGTATCTTAATTTAGGAAAGAAAACTTCAGCAAACTTGTGCATTAAGCTCCAGATATCTTGTGCGCTGCCATTTTTTTTTTAGTAGAGGTATAGGGGTATTAATGATTATTAATAGACGACTGGATGAATTTTTTTTAATATTCTGATGGATTTCTAAAATGCATGATGTAGCTTGTGCTACACGTAATTACCTCTACGACACAGAGCCTTGGCTTGTAAAAATGGAACGAGCTCAACTTAATGAGGTGTGGGAGCAGTTCACTACAAACAAGGATTATGTTCACTGCCAGCACTGTGATAATGTGCTTAAATACAACATGACAACAAGCACTATGATCATCTGTCAGGAGAATTACAAGCTAGGAGAAAATGAGCGGTGTAATGGTATGTTACACAACATGAAAGGTTTAATTTAGTGTAATTTAAAGATCATAGTAAAATATAACCTATAATAATTTAAAATCCATTGGTGATTTTTTATTTTTTTTGTTAGTAATACATTTTAACATATTTATCACATTAATGTATTAAAACCATAGACTGTAAAAAAGATGGACGACACATCTGAACTTCTTTCCACTATAGAAAAGTGAAGCCAAAACATTCTCAGTATGGCCGCTGTCATCTTTTCGAAAATTACGTAATTTGGAGCCAGAGTCTGCGCAGTAGTGATCGTGAGGTGGAGCCACAGTATCAAAGTCCCGCCCAAACTCCCGCAGACCCAATCGCAAGCTCACAATCATGTCACCACACCCCGTTTTATAGCATCAAATAACAAATTAAAAGTCAACTTATTAGAAAAACGAACGCTTGGACATACATCAGCATGCTAAGAACTACCGAAAATGACAGGAAATGTCTTTGGAAAAAAATTATTTGAAGTGTAACTTGATAGTTTAGTTTGTCTCAGGTCCCATTACATTACATACAGTCACCTGGGGGCGATCAAGATGCTTTGGCTTCACTTTTCAGGACTTGTGCTGCACACTTGATTGAAACAGTTTACTGAAAATATCTTAGTAGAGAAAACCCACATTTAAACGCTTAACCATATGCTTATTTGGACTATGATTTAAAAATGGGGTATGTGCACAAGGTATTTGGAGTCTTGTTTTATGCAATTATATGGCTTCATGTGTAAAAGTGACTATTAAGTGAACAGAACATTATTTTAATTCTCTTTATCTCAGCTTTATTTGAATGTAAACTGTATGTGATGAGTTTTCACAGCCTAAGACTCACTTACCAGGGGTTTTGTTCACAGCTTTTGAGAAGATGGCATAAAGGGGAAGACAGAGAAAGTTCAACTGTTAGACACACTTTTGACTTTGCATGGAGGCTGTCATGCAAACATTTCATTTCCAGCTTTAAACAGACTGGTTGCTCATGCAAGGGATCAAGACTGTCCCTGTGCATGGCTGTAAAAAATAAAATAAAATAAATCAATAAATAAAAAATCCTGTGGAAAAAAAGTCTATAAAATCTGTTCCATTTTCTGAGAGGAACAGACATTATTGATGTTAATAATGTTATTATTGACATTATTACTTCAAATCACTCCATCACTTCGAGAGTATTGCTGTAGTGTCCGGAATGCCACAGCGTTCCTCACATACTCTGGATGAGGCCATAAATCCAAGCAGGTTACTAAACCAGCTGTCCGATGTGGACCATGTGGATTTACGAGGTTGTGAGGTTTGTGGATTTCTGAACACAGAGAATTACTCTCACTGAAGACTCGTGCGTATAGCTATCCAAGTGAATCATCCACAGCTATTTTTGTTTCTGAATAAACCTGTTTAAATGAATGCACACTGATTGCAAGAGGAGAACAGCACAGTTCAACCAAATAACCACATACTGTAAAAAGCCTTAAACCAAGCCTTTAAGATTGTGAAGCTTACATGAATCACCTGAAAAATCTCTCTATTCAATTCAATTTGACCAACCGATTTAAATAAAAGAATAAACGTCAATCTCAAGGGTAATCTCAAGGAGCCTGGCATATCTAAAAAGCTGCAGATAAAAGCAAAGCATGCTAATGGACTGAGAAACTTTAGACTAAAATCATCTATGTACATGTGGGATTTTTTTTTTTCAGAATTGTTTGATACATTTATGAATTTTGTAAACACAGAGGCTTTTGATAAGTTTGTTTCCTGGGAATAAAACCCACAACCTACCAAATCACTTTGTATATTTTATGCATTTGGCAGGTTTTGTCTAATGTTTTTAAAAGACTTTATCCAAAATGCATTGCATTCAATGTATGCAGAGTTCTGTGGTAACATTCCATGGGAATTTAGCCTATGCATTTGTTGTTACGAGCAGCATTTTCTACCAGCTGAGCTAAATATTGCATATTATATAGACAAGATAGTATAAACAAATTTTAACTAACATGTCTGTCCCTGTTTTATCAGAGGCAATTCATCACAAGGGCAAATAATTGGCCATTGTTGAACATGTCACACTAAGCAATTAAAGACTGATAGTTTTGCCATATGAGATTAGAAATCTTTTATGATTCCCGACATTTGCCATCTCAGAAGGCAAATCCAGGCCTCCTTCCTTACTGGCTGGAAAATTACCACCTGGATTTTCTTAAAGCCAAGCAAAATCAGACATCTCTATCCGAGAGTTAGAGTCTGTCTCTTTTTTTTTGTCTCTTTCCTGTCATCCTTTCAGGATTGGAACCAGAGGATGATCAGTTTATTTATTCAGTAATGCCTGGTCTGCCTGGCTTATTACATTTACAAAAGGCTTTTAAGGCACACTTGTAAGGCTTTTAGGATTCGCTGGGTTTCTTAGCTTACAGCACTTTTGGTCAATTCAATTGACAGAGACAGTCTGATGATTCATGTCAAAGTTTAATTGTAAAGTTGAATCGACCAGCATTGCTGGTCATCAGGATATGCTGTGTTCAGGATGCTGGGTGCTGGGTGCTGGTGTCCCCACTAAACTTCCTTGATCACCCAGCTTTCCCAGAAAGATAATGCTGACTGACTAGCATTGTTTGCAGCTGAACAACATGTCTATACTTGTTCTTGAGCTAGACCAGCGCCAAACAAGCACTGACCAGACTGGACCAGTACGGAAACAGAGCACAACTTTTAAGCTCAGGTTCAATCAAAAAATCTGCATAATCTTCTCTTTGGAGAAACTTTCTTAGAGATTCCTTGAAAACTTGAAATGTTAACATATAAACCTTTCAAAACTCAGAGACTGTTAAGAAATGGTATCTATAGCTTGATTTCAGCTTAATTCTTTGTGATGAACTACACTGCACATGATCCTGAAGAGAGATCCACAAGTTATTATGGGTAGATAAATCACACCAAACACTTTCCATACACTTTTAAAGTGAAAATGTATCAATGGTTCATCCCTGAATAAGATTTTTTTTTTTTTGGACCTTAAGTTGTAATCATAATATCGTAACTTGATCTTCTAGTAAAACTTTCTCTGGTGATGTATACTGGATTTCTCCTATTATTTAGTCTGCTTCAACACCAAGGAACCCATGACTTTTCAGTGTTGAAAAGTCCAAGTACAAGACCATATTTTCATGGTCCCGGTCTTGCCATGGAGTATTTGGACTATGCCTTGGACTCAGAGTTGGTCTGTTATGTATCTGGACTAGAGCACACTTTGTGTGTGCTGTGGAGGTTCGTGTGACCCTCATATGAAACCAGACTTCATTCACCCCACAGAAAAACATATTTATACTGTCTGAATCATTTAACCCTCCTCAGTTCTCTGTCTTAACACACACTTAACCCTCTTCTGGTTTTGACTTGGACTGGTCTCGGACTTGAATAAGCTGACCTCGACTACAATACTGCCTCCTTTGTCAACAAAATGGCTGCCTGTAAAAACAATACCCGTGCCTCCACAAAACAAACACAGAAGAGAGCAGAAGCGGATTTCCAGACCAACCCGATCTCATGAAAGTGCGTATAAATAGTACGCCAAATAAAAACGAAAACTCGTGGTATTGATACGCAAAAATGGACTTTGGCGTGTATATGCTACGCGATGGGTAGGTTTAGGGTTGTGGGGTAGATGCGTATCATATGTACGCGAAAACTGCGTATCATATGTACGCCAACAAATTTCGTATCATATGCACGCGAAAACTGCGTATTATATGCACGCCAAACACATGCGTATCATATGCACGCCAAAGTCCATTTTTGCGTATCAATACCACGAGTTTTTGTTTTTATTTGGCGTACTATTTATACGCATTTTCATGAGACCGGGCTCTTCCAGACAGTGTCACTTTGACTGGTTACTTGAAGCATTGGGAGAGAGAGAAAGAGGGTTTATCGCCTTCATGTGACCATATCCCTCTTGATGACATGCTGCTCAGCTTTAATCCTTTGGTCTATTTTTCGTCCCCAAACTCAAATCCCAACATTTGCCTGCGTTGTGTCAAGAGACAAATGCCAACTGCGCCTGAATCAGGTTGCAAGTCCTTTCCCCCCTTTTTTTTTATTGACCTACTTTTGTAGTAAGATTATAGTAACTGTCATATGTCCATGTATATTTATTAATCCTCACAGCTAAGCCCACAGCGATTGTTTTGAAAAATTTTTCACATGCCGTTGAGCATTAATTGCTTTTTATCTTGTAAAAGGCTAGGTTAAAAACGTGTAGCTCTCAAGTGAAGAAAATAAGGTGCAGCTAATCACAGGAAAATTGTTATTTTTCATTGAGTCTCTTAATAATTAAAGCATCATTGAGTGAGTACTTCTTTATAATGCAGTTTTTTTTTTTGCCAATAAACTAACAGAGATTAAACAGACAGAAGCTAAATGGATGTGTCTAAAATGTGACAAGCACAGGACCATCTCAGGATTTTCTGATGTTTTGTAGCTGGAATTACAATAAAGTGTGTGTGTCTTGTGTGTGTTATCTGGTTGCTGTGATCTCAATAACTAAACGATGTGGCACAGTTTGCCAATGGTACCCTCTGATCCACATCGTCAGGGCAGACAGAACATGTGTTTTACGGTTAAACGCATATTGTTTTAATCTGCCTGCAGTTTAAGGCAGATTTCCACATGATAATACTGACGGTTGTGCTCCTGCTGGGGTGGTGTGGCCCGTCTAGAGCTTTCATTCACACTGAAGTATGCAGTCTGCTTTCCTGAGCCATCTGCATGCTCTGAGGGCCTTTGCAAGCCTGTTGCCATGTCTGTTTGCACTTAAAACAATAGCAGGTTGGATAGATTACCAAGGGCAAACATTAAACAATTTCTGAGCTCACATTTGTTACTTTGGTACATACTGTGCTGTTAAATTGCACCAACACTAAAAGATGAATTCAATAAACAGTTAGGCAGACCACTGGATCTGGACTGAGTCCAGTTTCAATCTGCAATCCAGTCAAGTCAGTCACTAAATGTGCTGAATTTAGCATTGCATCATGATTATCTAAGGCATTACTATTTTTTTTTTTTGGTACAAACATGCCTTAATCTGTGTCTTCAACTATGGGCACTTTTTTTCTCCCACTCTTCTTTTTTCATTATTTCTGAAACCCCACAACAAAGCCATTTCCACTTTGTCTCAAAACATGCAACCTGTAATTTAATGACAATGATCAAATGGCTGCCTCGTTTGTCTTCACTGATCACTTTATCAGAGACAAAATTATTCAGTGTGGTGGAACTGTCATTTTTAAAATATATATATATACATATATATTTTTTATTATTATTTTTTTTTTTTTCACACAACAATTATTGAAATGATTTATGTTTACTTTAGTCTTTGTTTAGATGATCATACATTTTTATAATCGATTTTCATATTAGGCAACTAAAGGTCCGATACTGGGACTATAGTAAAACTATAATCTACTTATTTAAAATATATATATATACATATATATTTTTTATTTATTTATTTATTTTTTTCACACAACAATTATTGAAATGATTTATGTTTACTTTAGTCTTTGTTTAGATGATCATACATTTTTATAATCGATTTTCATATTAGGCAACTAAAGGTCCGATACTGGGACTATAGTAAAACTATAATCTACTTATACAAGGAATTTGAAAAGTAGAATATCTGAATGATGAAGGCATAGTAAAAAAAAGTATCCAAGTCAGTTTTAATGTGATCTTATATAACATTTCATATAATGTAACAAAAAGAAGAAAAAAAAGTTAAAGGGGTCCTATTATGCTTTTTCACTTTTTCAACTTTAGCTAGTCTGTAATGTTGCTGTTTGAGCATAAAAAAGAT